CCCCCCAAAAAGGGGGTTAGGAGCTGGCTTATCATCCACAATATGCTGCGTGTGGATACCCTTACCGTATCCTTTGGAATTAGCGCCACGTCGGTGGCCTATCGGAAGTTCCGATGTCGGATACTTCCTCCAAGTCTTATCTACACGACCTCTATCATCGACGAAGGTCCTATCTACAAAATTCTCAGGCGGACGCCTATCTTTGCGCCGCTGGCTCACTTCGCGGGTCCAGGCTCCAGCGCCTCTATCTGAGCCAGTAGCCGGGGTATCAGAAGTTCCCGGTATCGGCGGGAACTTGCTATCTCTCCCATCTGTAGTCGGGACACCAGTAGAGGAGGAAGACCCTCCTCCTATCGGCGGCTTAGCCTGCAGGAAGGGCGGCGGCTTAGCGCGTAGCTCCGGCCACCCATCTGTATCAGCACTATCCAGCTCCTCCTCCCGGGAGGACATCTGCCGAAAACGGTTTAGCAGCATATCCTCGGAGCGCTTTGCCAGCTCCTGTCTCTCCTTCTCTTGCTTAGTCCAGCGTCTGCTTAGCGTTCTGCCCCTATCGCTGCCTTCTCCATATCGGTAGCAGAAGCTGAGGCGGCCATATCTCGGCCCACCTGGCACTCTCTTCGTAGTGCCTTCTCTCCTCTGGCGTAGCCATCGCCAGATTTAGCAACTCAGTCATATCGTTGATCTGGTCCTTGGTAGCGGAGGACCTCCATATCGACTCCAGCTTATCCGGGTCCTCTCGGAGGGCTTTTAGCATTATCCTCGTAGCATCTATCAAACTTTCACCACCCATAGCGCAAGATCACCCACTTCAGGGGGCGGGCGCCCCAATCCTATCAAAAACTTTCCAACTCTTTTCCCAAACTTAAGCTAGGCTCAGCTAGCGGGACTTGACGTATGAGTAGGTAGCAGTAGCCCTGCATAGAAATACAGTGTCAACACGTTCAAGTAGCATGTCGCTTCCGGTGCCCTATCAGAGTAGCCATCCTGCTAGGTAGCGGCATCCTGTAGCAATACACCGAGCACTCCCTTGCATTACCCGACATGAATAGCTAGCACGCTAGGTAGCAGCAGCCTGGGTTAATAATACAGGGTAATAGCAAGACAGCGCAATAGCCTAGCGCACATGTCGGAACTGTGGCGCCCTCTCCGTTTCCCTCTATCACTCTCTCTGGTTTCTCCGGGAGGAAAACAAAGGTAGCTCGCCCTCTCCGACTCTCTCCAGGTATCACACAACCCGAGCCAGGCATGCATCAACAACATAGCTTCAATATCTAGCTTGCATGCAACATGCCCGTGCAAAATCACATGGAAAATCAAAACTATCATGTTGGTTCACGCTTGTTTATCCTTGCCGCTTTATCCCTCCCACTCTGCAGGATTCGGCCATTCCAGACTATCCCCGTAGCCTTCCCAGCCCTGCTGGGGGGGCATTATCGTCTTCTAGCTCCTCGTCCCCCGACCCCGCGGGGGAAGCTTCACTAGGATTATCGTCACTATCAAAGGTGCCCTGAGGCCAGCACAGTCTACAAACATGGGTGTGTTCAATTTTATCCGGAAGACTGCAGAAATGTCGGGAGCTCTTAAACTCCCGCTTTCTACCCATCCAACACCCATTGCCACCAGCCCTATGTAGCTCCACTATGACATATCGGGCTGTCCGGTCGGCTACCTTAGCGACTTTCGAGGAGCTAGCCTGCACCTCGCCGCTTTCGCTATCCTCACTCCCGGCCTCCGCTTCCACGGCGACGTCCGGCTCTTGCGGTATCAAGGTGACCACATCGGTCAGTATCCGGCCGTGCCTCCAATGGTGGGCCAGGGGGTCCACTATCGCTCGGGCTGCTTCCTCACCCAGCTTTCGCCTATCTTGGAGCCAGTCCACCAGGTTGGCTGCAATCTCTCTCATCACTAGCCACGCGCCCCCCATAAGAGCGAACGTAGGTATCGGAGCCTTCCGGCTTCCACCATCCTAGGATATCCTTCTCGGAGTCCGTGACTCCCAGAATAGCCAGTGCTGTGGGAAGCACCGATCTCTCTGAATGCTCTGTCCAGTAGCCTTGCACTGTGGACGGTAGCCCTACCTTAGCCAGAACGGCAGCCACTACCGCGTCACCACAGCCAGCCATCTTCTTCTCAAAGCTAGCCATATCGGGCCTTCCTTGGGACCAAGTAGTCCCTTTCGAAGGGGGCCATCTCCTTTATCAAGTCGAAGCCAGTCTTTATCCAGGTCTGGTCCTCGAAGAAGGAGACCTCGCTGACGCAGACTGGTAGCTCTTTTATCCGACGAGTAGGGCCCGAGGTCTTCGTCCTCCTTGATAGCCGCCCCTCCTCTAGGCGCAGCTCTTCCGGCTTTATCGCCTGGATATCGGACCATCGCAGCGCCCAGATCCGTAGGCAGGCTATCTCCTCCTTATCCAGGACTAGCCTCTCGATCTTCACTAGCACCCACGTTGGGTACCGAGGAGCTCGTTTGGTTAGCGGTGCCCCCTCAGAGAGCATCTCTACTATCTTATCCTTGGTCGCCCACGCGATGCGGCCCTCTGTAGCGCGGATCTCCAGCCGGAACTCCGCTATCTTTTCGAACCACGAAATAGCCTTCATTATCGTCTCAGGCACTGAGCGGCCGCAGGGCTCGTCCCTGCAAACTAGCAGATAGTCTACCAGATCTATCGGTCTGCCAGGTGGCGACAGTAGCTTGGCCTCCTGAAGCCATAGCCTCCACCTCTGGTAGACCACCACGTATCTCTTTAGCGTGCTAGCACGGGTCCTTCCCGCTATCATTTCTGCCGCACGGGAAGGGTCTAGGCTCCCTTCTAGCTTTTCCAGGACAGGAGCCGAGCTCGCGTGTAGCTCATCGCGGAGCTTCTTGGCCCACATATCCAGAAGCTTCTCTTCCCTCGCCAGCAGCTTGTTGCCCGAGAGCTCTAGCTTCTTTATCCTGTCTCCCGGCGGGGGAGCCGGCTCTTGGGCAGTAGCTGGTCCAAAACGCCGTCTTGTCTGAAGACGGCTCCACTCGATATCGTTGGTAAGGATTCTTCCAATCTCATAGCCATTCTCGCGGGCTCGCGAGCCTCCTGTATCCATTCAACGATAGCATCCTCCAGCTCTTGACTTGGAGTAATATTCAGCTCAAAAGCAATCTGCCTAGCAATCTCTCCGCTATCGTGAATATCCAGAGTAGCCATTTCACGGGGGCCGAAGCCTACCAGATCCAAGTGCGCTCGGCACCTATCTAGCACACCACTCATGGCAGCGCGGATCCTAGCCGCGTTCCCTTTCCCCCAGCACTCAAAATTTGCCCCCCTTTGAGGGGGTCTAGCATCCAAAATGGCCACGATATCATCATGCCATTTATCATGAATGCCAAACCATGCTCATGAAATACTCCATGAAATATCATTAACATGATAACGCAAAAGACCCTCGATCCTTTTGCAGAAAACAGGATTTTTGCTAGCACACATTATCGTAACTCGTTCCTCGTCACGAACACGGCACACTACTTCCCCAACACGTTTGCGCAGGATGAAGCTCACTACGAGAAAACACCTGTCGGCAAGGGCTCCCATGTTCTGCATCGCAAGGCGCAGCCGACAGAATGGAATCGGAAGGTAGGCATTGCGGGGAGGGACATTTCAGACATCAAGGCGTGGGAACTGTCACATCGCGGGCTCAGTGATTTCTCTTTCAGGTTGCTGTCAGAGGGCAAGCACCAAGGCATAGTTTGGGAGCGAAGCGGCTCGGGATCTGTGCTTACGACGGCTTTGTTGAAGAAAATTCGAGAAAGCAGCGTATCCATTGACGATGCAGCCAGAGCCTGTCACTCAGCTGCAATTCCTGACAAGCACAGAGAGGCCATGAGATTCATGGAACCTCTTGCCCAAGATTTAATGAAGTGCATCGAGGCCAAAGTGCCAGCTCAGCCTTCCGATGCTGCAGATGAACTTGCCAAAGCCAAAACCAAACTGGCGCAGCCTGGCACAGCGATGTCTCCGGTTAAGCGTAAGTGTAGCCAGGATTTTGAGTCGGAACCTTCCATGTCAGCGGACAAATGGGCAAAGCCCGCACTCCCGCACATTGAGCCTGAGGACATGTCGGAAGCTAAAAGACTTCTGGTGGATTCCCAACGCAAGCTGGATAGTCGCCCTAAAGGTGCCACCAATGACCATGTTTCAGAGTGGCTTGCCAGCCTCAAAAACAAGGCTGAGTTTAAAGGCAAGTACAAGGAACTGGTCAAGTACGTAGGCGTTGTTCAAGATATTTTCAAGTCAGGCGCTTTCCAAAGTCCCAAACTGGCATCAAGGCTGTCAATCAAGAAGCTCTCAACTTGCATTGCAGTGGCCCAATTCCAGACAGCCTGACTAGCTTTAAAAGTGTCAGGACTGTGATGTCAAGCAGAAATTGCATCTGAAGGAAGAAATCTGTCGCCTTGGAGAGGCAACAACATTCTTCCTGCATTGCTCAGGCTACAGCAAAGCTTCAATGCCATGGGCCCAAGGCCTGCTGCATTTGCTTTTGCTTTTCTACTTTCAAGAAGGCTCTCAAGCATCATACGCAGAAATCATCAGGCAGAAGTTGAGATGTTGTAAAGCGCATCCCTCAACGTACACCTGGACAAAATTTCAAGCCCAGAACGCGGTGCACATGAAGACAGCAGTGGACTGGCGCCACTTTTCAAGCATGCAACATTACAGGCAACCACACACTTTCATGCACATAGACTCCACGAGTCAATCAGTTTTCCGCAGAGAGTCCAATAGATTTTCAGTTGCCAAGAAGCTAGCATCACGAAGAGAAGTTCAAGCAGAACTTGCGATCAGATTCTGGGTTTCAAGCAATCAGGTTCTGGGTATCAAGCAGCTCACTTCAGCAGTACACGCTTTTTCAAATCACCCAACGCTCCTCCTACAGAGAAGCATGGGTCACAGAAAACTGTTTGATAAGGATGCGGCAACCTAAGTTGAATCACCCCTAGATCAATTCGTACCTGAAGCGCAATGCTTTGGGATTCCGACCCAACAAGCGAGTAAGATCCATTTCTTACTCACGCTTTGGAATGAGGCTTTGGCGCAAGCTCAGGAAGAAGCTTCATTCCCAATCCCAGCCTGAAGTGTTTCAACTTAAAAGGAAGTCTGCATGGGGGATTTTGTTCAACCTCACATGATTTAGTCGGTCTCCATTTGAAGAGACGAAAAGACGTCGATCCGAACGCTATGTCCCAGATGAAGTCTACTCCCTCCTACGGCTCAGCAATTCTTTAGAGGAGCCAGGGAAAACCAAAGCCAGCAAAGCCTTGAAATCCGTTTGCAAGCATAGGAATATGACGTGGCTGTGTTCCGCACTGGGCTTGCAGATGAAACTGCCTGCTCATCCTGAGTTCAGCGCAGATATATCAAAATGGCTTAGACAGCAAATTTTGCAACGCAAGCCCATTTTGGTTCCGATTCACTTGCCAACCTTTAAAGTCAGAGGTCCCCTCGTCAGTCCTTGAAAGACTTTCTTCACAATTTCAAGGACTGGGACAAGTGGTTGCAACACCACACAATTGACGACATCCCTTGACCGTCTCACAAATATGTGCACAGTTTGCCTGAGAAGTGTTTAACTCATGGCCATGTAGTTGCAGGCGTTGAGGACTTAACATGCCTTCACCCATCTTTTGGGAAACTTGGTGAAGGAAGTGCAGCCTCAGCGTTTTCCCGGCCAAGCATGAGTTCATCACTCATAACATGAAGACTCTTTGCGGGTGGAGGAAGAATCAATCCCTTCCACCAAATGTTGAAGTTGAATTCAAAACCATTTTGCATCAACAATGGCAGAAGCATGTTCAGCTTTTGAAAGCTGAACGAAGGCTCACCTGGAGAGGTGTTACTGCAGCTCGGGGGTTGCTGCACAAGGAATTCGTAGTACACTGCGAGGACCATGAGCCAAATCATCTCATGGTCTATTGTCCTCAGTTCTATGTCCGAGCAGCCTTGAAAACATGGCAAGGCCCTGATGTGTTTGAAGAGGTCTCAGGATCTCAAGAACAGTGGAATCAATGGGTCCTGGATCGAATCCCAGGAAAGTTGCAGCGCAGATATTGTTGGGGCATCAATGTCAAAGGCTCTCTCCCAGAAGGATTCGCATTTTTAAAGCGCCAAAAGGAACTTTTTGAAAGGTAGGACAATCATATCCTACTTGCGCAGTTGCATCAAGGAGTTGCTCAAAGCAGCTTCACAGGCCATTTGTTTTATGATCAGGCTTGATTGGCCGGAAGCGCTAGGGTTGGCAACCACCCCTCAGCTGTGGCACAACATGCACCAGTTCCTGCAAAGAAGTCCAAGTCAAGTTCACCTCGCAGAGGTGAACGACGACTTAGTAGGCTTTTCAATTCAATGCCCAGAGCTCAGATATTAAAGTCCCTTCCAAGGCTCATACAGATGTATGAGCAACAGCAGAATCCGCCATTTATTTGTTTCCCTGCGCAAGCAATCCAATTGTGAGTCTGCGTGGCCAGGGAAACCGCGTGATAGAGGTGCTAAGCACATCAAATGTTTACATGCGCCGGATTTGGAGGACATCGTAGCAATGTCTTTCAAAGCCGGAGTCTTTACGACTCTTGGCCTCATGTTCCGCCAACACAGGGGCACATGCATTGGAAATCAGATCAGCCCCGTTTTGGGCAGCTTGCCGGTGATTGAAATTCAAAGAGAATCCTACTGGCAGTACGAATGGCGTCAATTTTTGAATTCTGTGAACTATTTTGACGCAACATTATCTGAATTGTTTATACGTCGTTATGTGGACAATCGACTTCTATTAGTTGATTCGTCACTGTTGGAGCTCCGGAGGCACCATCCAACTTGAGGAAGTGACCAATCATCAGTTCCTCGGATTCAGGCTCAATGCAGCAAACCGCACGGCTGACTACATTCAACCAAACAAATCATGGAGCATTAGAAGCCCACTCAGCGCAGGACCCTCTGGATTTTTCTCCCGTAGGTCCCTCATTTTACAGTACGCGTGGTCTCCAAGTAGCAGCGCAGCACAGGTACAAGCTTTGAAGGAATTGTACCTGTCCCAAGGTTTTCCAACAAATGTGATGGACTAACACCAGAAGGGCACTTTTTACATCTTTGGTGAGTGCAGCATGAGGATTAGCAGAACTTCAACGCAGGTTGTCTGCACAAGCTCTCTTTTTTTAGCTCTTTTTCAACTTTCAGGTGTCAGCCACGGCCTCTTCTTACGTGTTTCAAGTCTTTTTCAAACGGGGGCAGCAGCAGAAGCAGCAGCAAGACCCAAGGTCTGGTTGCTCCACTTCCTGATGTTGAAGCTCAGCTTGACATTGTGATGGGGGGCCGCGGCGCAATCGATGACATTCCCAAGGGGCGTTCTACCCTCAGCCAATTTTTGCTGCACCGCCAGCGGCTGTTGACGAATCCGTACCCAGATCAATGGGTCGTGGCAGACTGGAAAGTGGTCCGCACTAACGCTGGCAGAGCCGCTCTGATTAGGAAGTATCAGAGGCCATTTGCTTCCCTCAGGGAACCTGAGAGACAGCACTGCGCAAAGTTTTTGCTAAGTTTGTTTCAAGAACCGGTTCCCCCTGACTCCATAGAAGAAGGGGAGTTCTTTGGGTTCACTGATTGCAGGTTGCGATCAAGGCTCAGACACGAGCGGCATTTTCTGGAGGGAGTACGTTGCTGCATGATGTTGAAGAAAACGTCGCGGGCATGAAATTCAGAGCGACTGGATTTCCAGCCCAGGTCCGCCTCCAGCCTCCCAAAATTGGCATTTATGGGCCCATGCCACCACTAGAGAAGGGGCAACAACTATTTTGGCCACAGGCAAAGTGAGTAGCTGGTTTAGAGCCAACTGAGGACACATGCTCATTTTTTGGGCCACAAATTGCGAAAATAATCTGTCACCTTTTCATCCCCTCGTCCACAGTGCTTCAAGTGATCGAAGGTGGGCGATCAGAGTCGTAGCGGCCAGAATTGACTTTGTGTTTGTGCTTTCTGAAAGAAGCAAAGCTGATTTTCCAGCTGATGCTCAAAGAAGACAGCTCAAGCGCCAGAGGGCCCTTGCCTCTGAGCCTTCTT